AAAAAAACTTAACGGCTTTGAATATCGCAGTAAGCTCGCGATCATACGTGCTATAATTATTTTGCTCTGCGTTAAACTTCCTCGAAAAGAAAGCGAGCGGTTTCCAGGCATTATCGAGGAACTGCTCGAGTGCTGCGCCCATCCCCAAATCCGAGGCATTTGCTACCAAACAGGGTGGAGGTTCATTGGCTGGATGAGCGAGCACTGTCGACGAGCAATTCCTGTTTAATGTCCCGAAAAGCGCCGTCTGCCTCGCGAGTCCATTCAATTGGTTGTCGATCGTTTTTTTTAATCGCGTAGGTAAATGTAGAGTGGCGACTGAATTTGCGCTGCATGCGGTGTATTCATTCTATAAAAGTTTACCAAACCTAAAAAGCGCCTAAGATCATTTACCGTTTGTGGTTTCGGGAATTCCTCAATCGCTTTGAGCTTTTCCGGTTGCGGTCTTATTCCGTTACAGTCTATCAGATAACCCAGAAATTCAATTTGGTCGGTGCCTAAAACACATTTATCCACGTTAGCACGAAGTGCGAATTTTTTTAATCTTTGCAAAACAAATTCTAAATGAGCTTTATGTTCCTCTAAATTATTAGATGCGATTAAAATATCGTAAAAGTTTATAAAAAAAATTCGCAATGGTCACCATTTGAAGAGCAGTAATTTCTCCATAATTTCTGACATTAAAAAAAAAATTTGGTCAAAAAGTGTTCGAGTTATGAATTTTTTTCGAACTTTTTTAAATTTTTCTTATTTTTGTTCCGGGCGAGTGAGAACGCTGGTTTTTAAATTTTTCTTTTTTAAAATTGCAATGGTCACATTTTGCAGAGCAATAATTCTTCTTTAATTTCTGTCAAAGAAAAAAAATTTGATCAAAAATTGTTCCAATTATGGTTTTTTTTTACTTTTTCACATTTTTCGGTTTTTTAATAACGGAGGTGGGAATACTGGCTATTAGAAATTTATTAAAAAAATTCACAACGGTCAAATTTTAAAATGCAATAATCCTTCTTTAATTTCTGATAAAGGAAAAAAAATGGTAGAAAGTTATTCGTATTATTTATTTATTTCTGTACATTTGTATACCCGCGGTCCTGTCGAACCGCGGGTTTTGATTTTTTTTTACTTTTTTCGAAACCAAATATGTCGAATCAAATATTTTTTCTTGCGCATAAATTAAATAGTGATTATTGCTCTTTAAATTGTGCCCATTACGAATTCTTTTTATTTAATGGTCAGTATTCCCACTTCCATTATGAGAAAACCGAAAATTTAAAAAAAGTAAAAAAAAATTCATAACTGGAACAATTTTTTACCAAATTTTTTTTTCTTTGTCAGGAATTAAAGAGAAAGTATTGCTCTCCAAAATGTGACCGGATTGCTCAATAACCAATTTTACAATTATATATTATTAAAAAATTTAATAACCAGCGTTCTCACCCGCCCGAATCAAAAACAAGAAAAATTTGAAAAAGTACGAAAAAAAATCATAACTCGAACAATTTTTGACCAAATTTTTTTTTCAATGTCAGAAATTAGGGAGAAATTACTGCTCTTCAAATGGTGACCATTGCGAATTTTTTTTATAAACTTTTAATAGCCAGTGTTTCCACCCGCTTTATCAAAAAACCGAAAAATTTGAAAAAGTCAAAAAAAAATTCATAACTCGAACAATTTTTGACCAAATTTTTTTTTCTTTATCAGAATTAAAAGAGGGATTATTGCTTTTCAAATTATGATAATTGCGAATTTTGTGTAATAAACTTTTAATAGACAGCGTTCCCACCCGCTCGTATTAGAAAAACCGAAAAATTACAAAAAAAAATTTATAACTTGAACAATTTTCGACCAAATTTTGTTTCAATGTCAGAAATTAAAGAGGAATTATTGCTCTTCAAATGGTGACCACTGCAAATTTTTTTTTATTTTTTTTAATAGCCAGTTTTCTCATTCGCCCGTTTCAGAAAACCGAAAAATGTATAAAAGTCCAAAAAAATTCGTAACTGGAACAATTTTTGACCAAATTTTATTTTCTTTCTCTGTAATTAAAGAGGGATTATTGCTTTTCAAATTGTGACCATTGCAAATTTTTTTAATAAACTTTTAATAGCCAGTGTTCCTATCCGCCCGTATCAGAAAACTGAAAAATGTGAAAATTCAAAAAAATTCAAATGTCGATAAAATTTAAATCCGAGCTAATCTAGCAAAACTAAAATAGGCTTTTGCTAGTTTCGATAAGTACTTTCAGAAACTGAAGTCAAAACTTAGTGCACATTTTATGTGTTGCACTGTGTAATTTTGAATTTGAGTTTTATAATTTAAAAAAAAACAAATTAGTTTTTAACAAAAAATAAAAAAATCGATTCATACGCTTTTACAACGAAGAGGTCCGTCGATGTCCGTGGTCCGGATGGCGGCTCTCCTTGGCGCTGGCGATGGCGAAATGATAAACGTTGTCCTCTGTTTTTTTTCAAACTGCATGAATTAGAACAGCTGTCTAATATCGGGAGGTTCTTCGTGCAAAACTCCCGGGAACTTAGCTGGATAATAATTTCCTTGCAGGCGTGGTTGAGTCGTTGCTTGGGTCGTAGTCAGGAACATTATCACTTGCGCTAGAAACAGTGTGTGACATTAGCAAGGTAAAAAAATTAAAAAAAAGCCGCTGGATATGTTTTGACTGGATCCAGGATAATTTTTGGTTGGGATTTTCGAGTATATTGGTTGGCCTCCTGGTTTTCAAGTTTTTCTTTAGGTGGTGAAAGTTTCACCCCAAAAACCGGAAAGGTTATGGACTGCTTTCCGGCTGTGGTACGGCTTGGCACAGGATACGTCTTCTTCTCGGAGGTCGATTAATTGTAGCGTCACTTCTCCCTCGTAGAGAACTTCCTCGTGGTCTACTTCCCCGTTGCCGACGATCACGTCGGGGTCACCAATGTGGGAAATAAGCAATTAATTTCTTCTCAGAAGGTTCCCAACTTTTCGTGTTCAGTTGAAATAAAGAATATCGTGGTATTTTAAAGTAATACAATTTATTGAAATATATATCTCATTAAGGTCCCTGACTAAACTGTCTAATCGCTTACATTGGTAATTGTCGCCGGTATGACCATCAACCGCGCGTCTGCGCATTAGAGCGCTTTCCCCTGTAACTTACGACTAGGACAAGGTGCGGTGAGGTAGGAAGGGGGCGATTCCCCACATGCTTAGCTACAGGTGTGCCCTCTAGTGTAGCACTTATGTACCATAAGCCGCGAAAAATAAAAATTACGAATATTTGCTTACACTTTTGCGTCCAAACATAAAAAATTGGTTTTTTAAAAATTTCGATTTGAGATAATTACGGAAATTCATTTTATTTGAATATAGGAGCTGGGGCAATTTCACGGTTTGAAAATTTGGAAAATATAAGCCAAAACCTACAAGTTTTCGTTGCCCAAAGTTGGATCCATTTTTGTATAACTTTACGGCGCTTGAGGGGTGTGCACAGGTTGTATAGACCATTCCACAAAAAACATGCATAAAATTATCTTTTAACAAACATCTTTGTGCACTAATATTGTTTCGAAATGAAAAAACTTAAAAAGGTTTTTTTTCATTAATTTTAAAGTCGAATTTAGAAAAAACATGTGATTTTTCATAAAAATAAGAGTGATTACATTTTTAATAAATATTTTACAATTCAAACGAATCTGCTGAATTTTGGAAAAAATATCCGTTCTTATCATGACTTGTAACAATTGCACAACAGGTACATTTTTTACAATAAATCACTTTATTAAAAAAGTATACACTAAATATGGACAACCAAGGCTGTTTTTTGAAGCTTAATCCTCATAGAATTGATATTGATGTTTCTGAGATATTCCATTTGTAACAACTGCACAGCGTAACAACTACACCTTGTCTCCCCTATCTATTTGGCATTATAATTGTTAATCATAGTGGAAATTTTTTCATAGTTTATGTAAAATCAATTTTACAAAATGGATTTTGCAAATTTTTTTGATAAACTAATTTGTCAAAGAATTTTGTGAAATTCTTTTCTTTCAATAAAAGTTAAAATGTAAATTTTTTATAAAAATTTAGGACTTTTATTAATTAAATTTAAATTTATTGCTCTAATTTTTCATATATTAAAATTACTTTTTAAGCTTTTCCTTATACTTTTAACTTTGAAAATTAACATTCTTCAATAACTTAATACTATTAAATATACTTCAGGTAATTACCTACTATTGTAGAACACTATATGAAACACTATTCAAAACATGATTTATAAACAATATTATTTGTTTAATTCTTTAAAGCATGGAAGAGTATTGCAAAGTGTGTGGAACGGCTAAAATTAATTTCTCTTGTAGAATGGATGTTTGATCAAAGTCGAAGGATAGACAAGACACTAGATAGAATTGTTATTTGATAGAATGGACAATTGATTGAAAAGTCAACTATTACAGAAGTCATTAGATAGAATTGTTCTTCAATAGAATGGACATTTTCACAACATTTCAGCTGTCAGCATGTTAATGATGTTAATGATGTTAATTATGTTGATAATGTTGCTGCAAGCTTAAATTAAATTAAAATGTCCTTTCTATCCACTGTTTTTCCAATCAAATCTTCATTCTATTCAATTACTATTAAATAATCTAATGACTTTTCGATTAAATGTCCATTCTATTAAAAGACTTTTAAATCTAGTGACATTTCTATCTGTTAACTTTTCAATCAACTGACCATTTCGAGAAAATGTCCATTATTATCCATATTATAGTAATCAAGTAAAGTGATTTTGTATTGTGTCGGCTGGCGTTATATAACGTGATATGTTATCTATATATCTCCCATCGTTACATTAATCACGCAATTTGTGAATAATTCGTATTAAATATTATAATATTTAATATTAAATTTACTATTCACAGTAGATTTGAAATTAAATACCGTTTGACTTAAAATGTTTTTATGTAACTATTTCATATGAAGAAGATTTATATTCGCAGAAAGACACTGAGAACGGAATAAAGGAATTTGTTAATCAAGGAGCAGACGGTCTCGTAATTTGGGGTAGTTCAAACGATCTTACGAATAAAAGCAAGTGTCAAATGCTGAGAGAATATTTGAAAGATGTATTGGGACCAATAGTGTCTAATATTAAAATAAGTAAAAGGAAAGAGGATTATATCACATACAACAGCAGTTGTTTAAATTAATTTATATTATTTAAATTATTTATGACCATTTTTACCAACGTCAATTAAAAATTAATCAGTGATAAAAGCAAGTTTAACCACCCAGGATCACCTTCAGTTAAGAATTTAATAATTGATTAACTTTTAATCAGTGTTCGTGAGAGATGCCCTAAATTTTAAGTTATTTTTTTATTCGTAATTTATATTTATAGATGTTTCTATGTTAGACAAGGAATCTTCTAGAATTTTTTTTACTTAACAATAATAAATCTGACAAATATATTTAACACATTAATGCCCAAATGTGCTCTTTTAAAATATGAATTTTTAAATTTATTTTGATAAGACACAAGTTTCAAGTTAAAAAATAAGTTTACAGACAGAAACTGCATAAAAAAGTAATACAAATAAGTTTTTGAAAGAATATTGGATGACATATTTCGAAAGAGACATATTTCCAATACGTATAAAATGACACTTCAGAAAAAACCTTTCTTCTCATTTGCATCTTAACAGAGCTTGAATCTGTGCATTTGGGCGTTAATGGCTTAAGAGTAGAAAATTATAGAATACAGTATTTGTTTATATAAATAAAATTAACACAATGAGAAAAATTAACTATGATAAGTATTACTCATTTTAAGACCGAGTTATAATATAATAGACATTGTTGCAAGGAATAAAATAGTTTTAAAAACGAAACAGAATTTTTTGTAATTATATTATTTCTGTAATTATAGAAAAATTATAGTTTTTAAACAATATGAATGGAATCTTTAAAAATGCAAATTAAAAAAAAATGTTGATAATTTGTTCTTAACCCACGGAGAACACATGGGTTCATTCTGACCCCACGTTTTTTTAAGAAAAGCTTTTTATCTATTGTTTAATATTTTTTACAAAGGTTTTAAGGTATACAGACTTTTTTTATAGAGTTTAAACTATATTTTTTAAAAATCCTTAGGTTTATCAGATGGAACAGTTCAAAATTGATTGAAAATTGAAAAATGATCTAAAAAAAGTGTGTTCTCCGAAGGTTAAATTAACTATAAATAATATTTTTAGTTAAACATTTTTTTAATATTTAATAAACAGCTGTCATTTTTGTTTATTACAGTTTCATTATGAAGATTGTATTAATTTTTATGTAACATGCTATTTTCCTGTTTTTAAATATACATTTTTTATTTGTATTTCTACTCAATTTTCGTTCATGCGTTTTTACTAGTAGTTACCCTCACAGCATAAGATATTCCTGGATATCCAAATTATATCCAGTGAATATCCCATGGATGTCCCACAGATATCAGAGGAATAATTTCAAAATATCCAAAAGACCGGAAGTTTGGGTATCTTTTAGATATCAAAGGATATACATATGACGTTCATTGGATATCCAAAAAGATATCTCTGGGACATCATGTGGATAACTATAAGATGTCTTATGTATATCTCTGGGACATACTGTAGATATTTTTGATACACTCTCTAGATATCTTTGAGATATCCTGTGGCCAACTTATGAATATTAGTTAAGTAAAGGTAAAGAATTGAGGGTATTAAATTTATACAAAACAAATATTCAATCTACAATATAATATTAGGAAAATTAATTAAAATTTGTAGTATTTGTAGAACATAAATAACTGATTTACATGTAAGACATGTCACACATGTATGACTTTTTCTTGTTTCTGAGTTTTGCATGTGTATTTATTGCTTTTGTATGTAATTATAATATTATTTCAGGGACTATTGACGCGTCGCGTTTTCTTCCTTCACGCTTTTTCTTTAAATTAATTAGGATTTTTATTAGGTTTTTTTGAGATTGTGCTTAGTGAGTAGCAACTAAATTAGGAGCAAGAGTACAAGAGAGCAATAAGAGAAATAAGAGATTGGTAAACTCTGATATATAATTATTTATTTGTTGATTCATTAAAAGTTATATTTTTTATAGGGGAGTGTAAGGTATGGTGGCGGACACTTTCTTTTTTGCGTCTCTCTCTCTCAAAAAACAATATTTTTCAAAATTTCAAAAGCAGGCAGTTGCTGACATCTATTAAGCATATTTTTGTCAGAAGCGGCTGTTAAAATTTAAATTCAGTGAAATTTTACAGCTCTTGGCGCAAAAAACTGATTTTTTTATTTTTGAAAGTTGTAAGGTATGGTGGCGCATTTGGTGTATTTAACTAAAATATTATGTAGATGTTAAAATTATTTTTTAAAATTACTAGAAATGATAAAAAATAACAAAAGTAGAGAAAACTGATGATTTTACATTATAGAAAAAAAAGTTTCACTTCAGTTATGGTTACAATTTTGGACATGTGAAGTAGCTGGTGGCTGTTTTAACGCAACTAGAATAAGAGAAGACCGCAAGTGTCACATATTCGAGAATTGTTGCGTTGGAGCACATGAGGCATTAGTACACAAAAAATGCAAAGACAATTGAAACTCGTGCAAAAAATGATCCGCCACTGAACGTTGCAAAAATTGCGCCATCATACCTTACAAGCTATTGATGAAAATATGATGGTGTTACTTTCATACAGCGCGAATTGAGAAAAATGTAAAATACAAAAAACTGTTGTCCAAGGTCTAAACAATACGTTCCATACATTTACCAGACTCAATTTTCAAAAAATCTTCACTCTGGCACTGTTAACACACATATCCAATAAAACTTTTTTTCTTTTTTTCACTACTTTTTTATTCAAAATCACTTAAAGTACAAAGCACGCGTTTGATCATTAATACTACTGCATATAAAATGTCATCACGATAAAAGACATCGACCATAGTGATAAGGCGCTTCAGATGTGACGTTACATGCCAGATTTGACAAGTGCGCCACCATACCTTACACGCCACCATACCTTACACTCCCCTAATATATTTTTTTTATTTAATTTATATAAATTTAATTCAGAAAACACCATAAGTTGAATTTTAATATTTAATTGTTAAAAAATATGATTAAGAAATATTTTATGCATAATATTTATTTCTCAATAACAATATTGTTCACAAACTCATTCTTTGCTTTTATGAATATTTCTGTTTCTTAATATTTTAGTAGAAAATATTTTTTAATTGCATTTAGTTTTAATAAAATTAAAGTTTTTTAAAAATAAAGGAAAAAAATGTTAATAAATTGTGTGTCAATTACAAATTTTAATTGAAAATAATATTAAAAATTTTTGAATTTTTAGTTTGCTCCGTGCAGTCTTCAACTTGGAGTTATGTATATCTTTATGTTTTATAATAATTAAAGATGACCGAAAAATAAAATCATCATTTATATTTTAAAAATATTGTTACTGTAACTTCTTCAATAGTATATTAAGCAACAAGGGAATACAGGCAGCCATTTCATTATGGTGATTTTTGTGACACGAGTGGAGGTCGAAATTTGATGTTTATAATCGTTCAGAGCCCTTATTTGTTAACCGATTTTACAAAAAAATTTTAAATTAAAAATTATAAAATTTAAAAGAGATTTCTCTAGGCTGAATTTCAAATTTTCTATTTGTTTATAATTTTTTTATTGCAAAATTTAAGAAAAGTGTCATTTTTTAAGAAAAACTTATCTCCAGTTGCAGCAATTAAATGTAATAGGCAAATAACTATTTTACGATACACCTAGAGTACTTCCTAAACTGTAAAAAATTAAAGTCGTAAAAATTTGCAGGTTATAAATAAATAATGTTAATAAATAAGTAAAGTTACAACAAATTATTTATTAATGTCGACACAGGCTTTAATAGATTTTGATGAAATTCTTTACTCAGAGGTTTTTAGGGGCTCTGATTACAAATCCGGCGTTACTTTTTCAAAATTTAATATGGCGGATCCAATATAATTATAAGCTGACTTTTTCCTGATTTTTTCTATTAAAAATACATTTTAAAATATAAATTCTTTCTTGTAAATATAAAATTTTAATTTCAAATGGAAATAATATTATTTAATTATAAAAGAAAACATACCATTGCATTGGTATTTCTTCCGATGATTCCACAGATTCTAGAGGCAATATTCTTTCAAGCTTGGTTTTTGTAAGTAACATTTCTATAAGTTTTCAATTTCTTATTACATATTATAGGATGCTTTTCCACTTCATTAATTAGCAGTCTATGCACATCCACATCGTCGTCCTCCATTATACATATACTATTGTAAAACAAAGATTAATAATTTGTAAATATTACATGTAAATATAACATGTGTAAATAGAGGTTATGCTTCACTTAGCAATGGAATTATACGTCCATGTTTTAAACGAAATAAATATATTAATGCATAAAATTCTACTTACCAATTTGTAAGAAACTTTTTTTGTAATAAATAGTTTAAACTTAATTATTAAATGATTAAACGAACTTACATGTATGTGAAGTTCTATCATAATTGTATGGAACGCCTCTTCCGAATAGATAGACTATATACCGATGTGTCACAACCTTTAAAGTCGAAAAAAATGAAACGGACCATTCCTATTCCGTTCTCTCGCTTGACTGTCATTCTTTTAAAGTAATTATATATCGTAACAGAACAGGGTATCATATGTTTTTATAACATAGGAATAGGGTTAAAATTGGGTGGGTTTGATCTATTTGGAAGAGGCGTTCCATACAATTATGATAGATCTTCACATACAGGTAAGTTCGTTCAATCATTTAATTGTATTTCACGCCTCTTCCTCAAGATCAATATGTAGATGTTTAAAGTAGTTACGATATATGCAAAAAGTAAACGAATTTTATTAGAAATTAGAACATAAATACATACATATATATGAAATAGAAACCAAATATTCAATGAAGTTTGAAAATATCAAACTACTTAGAGACGGAAAAAATAAACAGAACTAATTTTTCTTTTTCAATATGGCTAAGGCAAATGCCTTGCGATCAGTAACTAAAGAACGATTATAGAATTTTGCAAACGTTAGTGATGTAGCTGACCAATCTGCAGCTTTTTTAATCGCATCAATATTTACACCACATCTATTCGCAGCTGATGATGATGCGTGCCGCGTGCTATATGCGTCAAATAATTCCGTATTAACGCCACTATTTTTCAATGTTGATTTAATCCAGCGACTTAAAGTTTGACTGGATACTGATTTATAAAGTTTCCTGGTAAAAATAAATAATCTGTTTTCTGGACCTCGAATTTTTCTTGTTTTCTTTAGATAGAGTTTTAAAACTGAAGCAACACGTACCGATGTGTCTACCTCGAAAAACGGTATAACAAGAGTAGGCTGTATCTTACTTATTCTTGATGTCTTAATCCTTTCCGGAATCTTTATTTTGAAACCATACGCAGATCCGTTTTCATATTCCTTTGTAAAAAATTTTATGACTGAGAGTTTGTCTTCGTTAAAGGGATTCAAATTATTTGATAAACAATAATCCCACCACTTTTTCAAACTACTGTTGTACTGTTTCCAAGAAGATTCTGATATAGAATACAACATAACATTTACTGACTCTATAGGCAATTTTTTCTTTTCAAATGCTTGCTTTGATTTTTTTTCAAATTTCCTGCCATCAGGGTAAGTTTTTTCCACAAGGGGTGTGGTTTCCTGTCAAAAGAAAGTAACAAAGTTTTGTTAGGTTTTAGAAATATCGGATTACTACTGAGCATTGATGTAAACATTCGAAACCATGGCTGAGCATGCCAATACGGTACTACGACAATACCTATTCCTTCGTCCTCATTAATTTTTCGCAAAACTTTTAGATTAATTGAAAAAGGAGGGAAAGCATAAAAAAATAAATTTCTCCAATTAATTGTAAAAGCATCTACTGCTATCGAATTCGGATCTTTACCTCAAGATATATAATGCTTACATTTTGAGTTTATTCTTGAAGCGAAGATATCCACCTCAGGTTTCCCTAATAATTTTATTATTCTGTTAAAAGCAGTGTTGGATAATTCGTACTCTGTTTCAGGTTCTAATCGGCGAGACTCAAAGTCTGCTTTTGAATTATCTTTGGATGAAATGTATGACGCAAACAAAAATATATTTTTGTCTTCACACCACCTCCAAATTAATTTGGATAACTCGCTAAGTTTTTTATATTTAACACCGCCCATTTTATTTACGTACGCAATGGCAATAGTGTTATCAATTCTTAACAAAATATC